CAGCCTTAGTCACTTCCGAGAGACCCCAGCCACTGAGGCTCAAGGAGCCCTGGAAACAGTGGAGGGGCTGGGGTAGGAGACCAGCGTGAAAACACTCAGAGGCTCCAGCCTTTTCCCCAGGGGCCCAGCATCTGACAAAGCAGAGACCCACCCCCCAGATTCCCACTGGTTTACCCTTTGGGGAGCAAAGCTTAGTTACTCCAAACCCAGCTCCACGGGGCCAGACATTGATGTTAACACCCCCCCAGCAGGGCAATGGCCAGACAAAGCATTTCAGCCCCAAAGGGGGTCAGATTCACTCACCCAAGTCCTTCCTGGGGTATCGCTCACCCCCCAGAGCTAAGCCACCCCCTTAAGGGCACTGGCTCACGGCTCCTTCCTCCCACCAGCACCACACAGCAGGGGCCTGAAGCTCCTTTGTAAGCAACACCTGCCAATTAGCCAATTAAGGCTCAGGGCAGGGAGAGGTGGCTGGGGCCAGGTGCAGTCAGGAAGGGGTTAAGCCAGGGGCTGAGGCATGCACCCCGAAGGTGCAGGCAGTGGGACACAGCCGCCCTTTGCATTCCCCTGGTTCCTCCCTGCAGCCCCTGTCCCTAAGCCCAGCAGGCTCACAGCAGATCCGCTGCCCAGCCTGCCCTGGGGGCTTGCTCAGAGGAGGGACCCAGCAGCCAGCTGGAGTCTGGTAGTTACTCACCTAAGCCAGGCACAGCTGTGCCCCTCCGGCTGGGACCCGGCTCTGCCCCCGCTGGGACCAGGGGCTTAGAACGTGTGGCTCTTTCCACACAGGCGGCTGCTCCCACCAGATCCCTGGGACTATTAGTGCCAAGGAGGAAACGGACCCTGGATAGAGTTAGACAGGGGGGTGGGGGAGGAGCTGCAGGAAACTGGGGGCTGGCAAAAATAATAGCCCGGCTGCAGAGCCTGCCTTTAAAGGGGCAGCTGCTCTGGCAGGTGTGTGAGGCTGGGGTGGGAGGGGGGGTGGATAGGGGACTTGATTCCTTTCCTGGCTGCAGAGTCGGGGGAACTCAGAGATATTGGGGAAGAGCCCAGCGCCGGGAGGGGGGACTAGCCTCTGGAATGTGGGGGGAGCG